GCCTTTAGACAGAACATCTTATTTTCACACTCTTGAACATTCAGCCTTTAAAAAAAAAACAAACATAAAGGAATATGTAATTTATGACAGCTGGCCAGGCACTTAACTTTGGGAAACAGATTTTCAGATTTTGAGGTAAACTAGAATTATTTTCAGCAATCACAAACATATTTAAAAACCACATTTTATAGTACACTGAAATTATTCAGTTTTTAAGTTTGTCACCCTATTGTGCCAAAACTCATACCTATGTGTAACTTCTTAAGAAGTGATTAAAAGAACATTTTCAAGTCTGAATTTTAGCTCCATTGAGATACTTCTGTGCTTAGAACATATTTGAGAAAACTATAAGGTACATACATACAAGAGCTATTGGCAGGAGAGCCCAAGATGAGTAACTATCTTTCTTGCTAATTCGACATTAAATTTAATAGACTTTTAAGAAAAAGAATCACACTGTCAGTCACAGATACATTAAAAAGAACATGATTGAGGTGATAAGCCTCAATCTAGCTTCAGGAAAATCACAGTCCAATCATTGTTCCTGAAGGAGCAGAAACAAGCAGAGTTTCTGTTTAAGGATGATGACAGTACTGTGAAAGCTCCCAGAATCAGCACTAGGAAGCACAACTCTCTGGGTTTATTTTACTCTGGGCACAGTATATGTTTCTTTCCCTCTTCTGAATTCATTTCAATGTAATACAGAGTTTGCTTAATAAATGAAAATTCATATTACAAGATGGAAGACTTTAGTATTTACACATTAAAAGATCAAAACAGAAAAGTAGCAATTTTGCAATTAGTCTTTTATCAAAAGTTATCGAAGTCTATTTTTCATTAAAATGACCAGGATATTATCTGCAAATAGAAATGCCAAGCTTCCAAATCCTAACTATCAATTAATTATATTTTCCATTCATGTCTCAGATAGCAATTTCAATCCAAAGGCGGCTACTTCTTGCTTTGAACAAGTTCATCAGCTTAATTTAAAACCCTCCAAAGAACATTATAAATCCTGTTTTAAACACTCCAAAGAACATTATAAATAAAGAAAATTTAAAACATTTTTCTCAAAAAAAATGAGAAAAAAAAATATTGGCTTAATTTAGAGTTCCCATTTGGCTTAAAAAAAAGGTCTAAAGACTTCTAAGCTGATCCTCCATAGGATACCAAGTTTTTCCAGTCACAGTAAAGGGTTCGTTCTAACTGACCTCTTCTTTCCTTGTAGAGCTAACAGCAGGCACCTACCAAAATTATTAGCTTGAGTTACTGGTGCAATGAGCAAATGTGGAAGAATTTCTCTCTCTGTGATGCTAACTGGCTTGTTCAAGTTTTGAAACCATGACCCTGGTCCATTAGCACCATGCTTTACTCAACTGAAACAATCAAGCCCCTATTGCTGTGGGATGAGGGGTTTAGAGTGGGGAGAGAAGTGGATTGAGGGCAATTATCTACATTGTTAAGATGCCATGATATATAGTGAAAATGTAATTTGTCTGTTAATATATTTGAGGTTTGAAAATCATGGATCATAGCTATTAAATATTACTACAACAAGTTTTTACAATATTAGAACACCTGCAAATGTAGAACTTTCTGATATAAATCAAATTTGAAAATGAATGGAAGTTCATTGATCATTAGATTATCATTAAGCTAGAGGAAACAAATTACATACATTTTATAGGTAGTAACCTATAAAAAAGTGGATATTAGGTAAAAATTAAGTGAAATTATTCATGTTTTAGTTTCATCCTTCTCTTGGGAAAGCCCCAAAACAGGCCTCTCTCTGGAAAACCAAATTCATACACATACGAAGTTATCATCTGCTATCATACAGGTATAGCTTTCCTTCAAAGGTAGATGAGTCATAGGCATATCTCAGACATTCATTTTCATGCATAATAATTTTTGAGACATCTATTCCACTGAAGTATTGTAAAGGAAGTCTACAAACCACTTCTAGGAAAAAGGCACTTCATTGTGAAAGTTGGATTTAATTGAAGTTGAGAAGACTAGGATGGACTCAAAAGCCAGTATTCACCTTTGTATTTATGAACACAGAGCAGATGCCAATTTGTAAAATATAGCTGATAACATTACAAACAAACCAAACAGCAACATCAACTATATTCTTGGCAAAACAGTAATTTATGACATTTTTCCAAAAACTAACATAGTTCTAAGTTCAACAGTAAAAAGAAAAAAGATCACCAGCAGTTGCTACTTTAGAGCTCAAGACACTGTTTTCAACAGAATTTCATGTCTATAGTTTGGTTCTCTGTTTCAGAGCACAAATTGCTTTCAGATGAAAAACCTGGGGTGGTGGAGGTGTATTTGTGTGTGCTGGGGAGAACCAAGGGCAGAAAAATACCAGGGAGTAACAAGAGGTGCATTTCTCTGGTCAGACAACCATGTGAGGAGGTAGTTATTCTGAGAACTTCTCAACTAGAGAATATTGTACTGATCTACTGAGAGTTGGAGAAGTAGCAGGAGCTTCTTCATAAGACTGAAGATAGCAACAGAAATACTTCTCCTCCAGGGAAATCAGGACCAGGGTGTCAGTGCTACTTGAAAGTGGCTCTTTTCTGATGACAGAACTTTAAAAGTATCTTGTTACATCACCACACATGGCAACCCCATACAACCTTGAGTCCCATCATCACTGCTGTTGAGTTTTTTTCATTTGGTACTGGCGCATTTCTCTTACCAATGTGTAAAAGGCATCTTCGACACCCTGTCTGGTCTTGGCTGAGGTTTCAATAAATGGAATCCCGTAACTCTTGGCCAGCTCATGGGCTTGTTTTGTGTCAACTCTCCTTGTTGGCAAATCACACTTGTTTCCTACCAGCACCATAGGTACATCATCTGAATCTTTTATTTGCTTAATCTGCTCCCTGTAGAGGTTAATATCTGCAAATGACTTGCTATTATTGATGGCAAATACACAGAGGAAGCCTTTGCCTGTCCTCATGTATTGGTCTCTCATGGCACTGTACTCCTCTTGTCCAGCTGTATCCAGTATGTCCAACAGACAGGTTTCACCATCTATAACCACCTGTTTTCGGTAAGAATCCTCTATGGTGGGATCATACTCATCTACAAAGTGGTTCTGGATTAGCTGGATTGTCAGTGCGCTTTTCCCAACACCACCTGCTCCAACCACCACCAGTTTGTACTCAGACATTTCACACCAGCAAGAATCTCGAGCTCTGCTGCCTCCACTTTGGACAGATTTAGGACCACAACCGGGAAAAATGTTGGAGACCCCAGAACCGCCATGAACAGCCCCCCTCTTCCTTTTCTTATAAAGCTAATAGTTTCACTCCCATGATAGTTTCAGCCCTCATGATCCAATCACTTCTTAAAGGCCCCAGCTATCAATATTGTCACATTGGGGATTAAGTTTCAACATAAGTTTTGGAGGGATGAGCATTCAAATCATAGCAAGCACCATTGCTTCCAATATCCTGCTGGATGGAGTTAGGCAGCATTAAATGGAGACAACAGTTTAATGGGGTCCAACAACTAGGTGCTGACATGGTTAACATCTGTCCAGAAAATAATCCCCAAGTGAAAACTGGGGACAAATTCATGAATATGATCATGCCCCTGACTTTCAACATCCTTTGCTTATTCACTAGAGCCTTCAAGATAAAGTCCAAAGCCCTTACTTATTCCATTCTTTGAGTGCCTACCATGTGCCAGGTACTAGGGTCAGCAGTGAATAAAACAGATAAAAAACAAAAACCAAAACAAAAAAAGACAAAAATCACAGACCCCAGGCAGCTTACAGTCTGCTGGAGGGAGAAAGAAAGTCAGATGGTGGTAAGTGCCAAGGGAAAAAGATGAAGGAGGAAAGGGAGTTGCCTTTTCAAACAGGATAGTGAGGCCAGGCCTCATAGAGGGTGACATGTGAAGCAGGTAAACGAGAGAATCATAAGGATATCCAGGAAAAAAGTTGTTTCAGATAGAAGAAATAGCAAGTGTGAGGCCCAGATGTGAGGCACAGGAATGCAGCAGGTGATGAGGTCAGAGAGATGGAGGAGGGGAAGACTGCATAGGAATTTGTTGGCCATGCTAGATCCCTAACTACCTTTCCAATACCTGCTTGTGCCACTCTCCCCTCACATTTCCTGGTCAGGGAACACAGATCTAGTTGTAGTTCCATAAACATACCATTTTCTCTTACTTCCAATCCTTTGAAATGCTATCTCCTCCCTTCAGCCAAGTAATTCCTATTTAATCTTCAAGACTCAGTTGTCCATAGAGATGTAAGCTGCAAGGGTCAGTGCAATTTTCCAGTAGCTAACAGCTCCGCTGAAAGAGCAAGGGCATGGACAAGAGACTCAAAGTAGCAGGAAGTAGGATGCTTTGGATAAAAGGACATCTTTTTTTTTTTTTTTTTTTTTGAGACAGAGTCTCACTTTGTTGCCCAGGCTAGAGTGAGTGCCATGGCGTCAGCCTAGCTCACAGCAACCTCAAACTCCTGGGCTCAAGCAATCCTTCTGCCTCAGCCTCCCAAGTAGCTGGGACTATAGGCATGCGCCACCATGACCGGCTAATTTTTTCTATATATATATGTTAGTTGGCCAATCAATTTATTTGTATTTATAGTAGGGACAGGGTCTCACTCTTGCTCAGGCTGGTTTTGAACTCCTGACTTCGAGTATCTGCCCGCCTCGGCCTCCCAGAGTGCTAGGATTACAGGCGTGAGCCAGAGCGCCCGGCCAAAAAGGACATCTTAATCCTCAACACTTGTGTACATAAAAATCCATAGTCTTTTCTGATGTTACATTCCAAGTTCTAGACTTGACGTGGGCAATGTCTGCCATTTGATGAATTCTTATTTATTTATTTATTTTGAGACAGTGTCTTGTACTATTGCCAGGGCTAGAGTGGCATCATCACAGGTCACTATAACCTCATTCCAGGGTTCAAGGGATCCTCCTGCCTCAGCCTCCTGAGTAACTGGAACTACAGGTGTTCATCACCATGCCCAGCTAATTTTTTTGTAGAGATGGGGTCTTTCTATGTTGCTCAGGCTAGTCTTGAACTCCTGGCATTAAGCGATCCTCCTGCCTCTGCCTTCCAAAGTGATAGGATTATAGGCTTGAGTCACTGTGCTTGGCAGCATTTCATGAATTCTTACCATGACAATTTCACTTTCATGAAAATTTCAACAACGGTCCAATATGCAATTACAAAAATAATCTTGTTGCATGGATGTAAAGCTTGGGCCTAAATTCTTTTGTTTTCTTCTAGATTCCCTAGAGACAAAGCCAGTTTGCCTGATCTTTCAACCAAAGAACTCTGGATAACTTATGAGCAGTTTCTACTCCTTTGGTAATAACTCAGTATATATAAAGATGTCAACTTCATCATCAATTTCCACATTCCATCTCCAACTGAGTACTGTACGTAATCTGAACAAAAACTATGAAAGGTAGGTATTACCAACTTTACCCTAAAGGTAAGGCAACTGAGGTTAAATAACCTGTCTAAGGTCACCCAGTAATTAAGTGACAAAGCTCAAATAGAAACCTGCCTGGGACAAAAATCATGTTCTTCATGATATGACCAACTAGCCTTCCTCCCTCCTACAATACACTTCCTCTCATCACTTTAGGTCACAGGCACGTAATAATGAGTAGTACCTCTTATTATTAGCCAAGTGGTCTTTCCTCCCCAAACCTTTGTAATACTCAGTTATACCATCAGATCTCCCTACTTGGAGCAGGACTAAAAGAATAGAGAGCTCTTTGGGATGCTTACCATGCCTAGAACATTTGTTAAAGTTGATAAGTAGGTCTCAAGTAAGAAATGAGTGCCTATGCCCACCCAAACTTACATAAGAATGTGGACAGCAGCTATACATATTCAAAGCAGAAATAATCCAACTATCCATCAATAAGTGAACCATTTTTTTTAAAGATTGTATTCATATTATGGAATACTAACAGCAATGTAAAGGAATGACCACTGACAGATGCAACCACATGGATGAATCTCAAAAACACATAGAAAGAAAGAAGCCAGACACAAAAAACTAGTTACTGTACACTTCCATTTATATAAAGTTGAGGAACCAAACTTTCCTATAGTGTTAGAAGTCAGCATAGTAGTTACCTCTGTGAGGTATGATATCGACATAAAAGGGGCATGAAAGAGCTTTCTGAGGTGATGGGAAGTATTTTGAGTCTTAATCTAGTTAATGATCACATGGCTGCATATATATGTAAAAAAATCTTTGAGATATGCACTTAAGATTTATTCATTTTACTATATGTAAATTATATCTTAATAAAAGAAATATTATTTTAAGAAAAGAATAGCTGGTCAGGTGTCATGGCTCACAACTGTAATCCTAGCACTCTGGGAGGCCGAGGCAGGAGGATCATTTGAACTCAGGAGTTCGAGACCAGCCTGAGCAAGAGCGAGAGCCCATCTCTACTAAAAATAGAAAAAATTAGCCGGGCATGGTGGCACGTGCCTGTAGTCGCAGATACGTGGGAAGCTGAGGCAGGAGGATCACCTGAGCCCAGGAGTTGGAGGTTGCTGTGCTAGGTTGATGCCATGGCACTCTAGCCCAGGCAACAAAGTGAGTCTCTGTCTCAAAGAAAAGAAAAAATTCTGGGAGGCCAAGGAGGGCGGATTGCTCGAGGTCAGCAGTTCGAAACCAGCCTGAGCAAGAGCGAGACCCCATCTCTACTATAAATAGAAAGAAATTAATTGGCCAACTAATATATATAGAAAAAATTAGTCGGTCATGGTGGTGCATGCCTGTAGTCCCAGCTACTCGGGACACTGAAGCAGGAGGATTGCTTGAGCCCAGGAGTTTGAGGTTGCTGTGAGCTAGGCTGACACCACAGCACTCACTGTAGCCTGGGCAACAGAGTGAGACTCTGTCTCAAAAAGAAAAAAGAAAAAGAATAGCTAAAGTCAAAGCTGTTAATGAACTGCAAACCATGTTTCCACTGTTGTCACATGGTATCACCTACTACTTTAGTCAGTAAACAGCAATACCAGCAAACCATTATCAGAATTAAAATTCATGATAGGAGGCCTTCAAGAATCCTTTCCTCACATGAAATGCAACCACCCTGTAACTCATATATGTAAGGCAAATAGTGAGAAACATTTTAAGATTGGGCAGTGGGATTTCAGAAAGCTTATTAAAATGGCAGAGAAGACAAAGGGATATAAAAGCATAAAAGCTAACAAATCAAATATAAAATCCACAGCCCATAATCACTTCTAGAGAGAACTATGGGAAAGGGGAAATTATTGGGGGCACTATTTGTCAGAAAAGCAGAATGAACTAAAGTACAGTTCAAGAGTCCATCTTCCAAAGAAGGGATGAGAGAGAGCTTCTGAGCTTTGAAAGGATTGTTTTCCAGAATTTAAGTTGATATTTATAAGCTAATAAATGACCCAACCCAGCCCTTGCCCACCTAGAAAGAGCACCCCCATAGATTCTTTACAAAATCTCCTCAAAGTCATGAGAGCTGGAAAACTTGAGAAACTAGCCTGATCCTGATTATATGAGAATACAGAGCCAAAAAGGGATCACCAAGCATGAACTGGTCCATGGAACTGCTGAGGGTCCTTAGAACCAAAAGGGTCATTCCTGGGGAAGCAGAAGTTAGAAATGACTCAGAGATAACATCTTTTGTGTTCCTCCATTTAAGATTAACCTTCTATAATTTCATTTAGGGCATAAAATATAGTTAATAAATCTATATAGCACTGGAAATACACAGGGATAAGGCATCATACAAAATGAAGTTTATTATGGTCATAAAACATAAAGTACTACTAGGAAGAGATTACATGGATACTTGAGAATAAACAGAAATGACATTAGATGGTTTGAAAATTTTATTACACAGGGAACCGAAGAGTAACCAAAAACTACTTGTCAAGATGACAGGCAGACAGGATCACAGTGTATAGGTTTGAAAGCTGAGAATTCTAAGGTAAGTCACTGCTTATTCTCAGTGACACTATGGACTTTTATCTAAAATAAGAAAAGGTTTAGAGTGTTTTAAGAAAGGATAAAAAAAAGGCTCATGAGTTTGACCAAATGACTAAAAGTTGAAGGATGCAGGATTTTGAACCCAGAAGAGAAAATGCTAAGGACATATTAATATATTTAGTAATAAAAACATCTGGTAATCAAGGAAAGATCCGTAGGTAAAATTAATTGGGTCTTTTCATTCACAAATAAATTAAAACAATTAAGATCAATTACCTGTTTTTAAGACACAGAATAGAAGGTAGGAGTGTATTTGAAAGGCATGCATACCCTCTTGTTATGTGGTCTGATATTTAGCAGTTAATAAGTACTCACTTCTTCCCTATCTTCATAGATTCGGCATTCTAAGAACACATTTGCATATGATGATAATTTTTTAAATGTCTAAAGTGTTTAGGTGTAAAACAATGTTAAAAGGCAGAATCCAATGTCTGTGAGTACACTAATACCTTATTCTTAAAAATGTCACATCCAGCTATTTCAATGTCAGCACTGATACCTGGGACCTAAGACAAAGGAAGGACTGGGAGATATTTTCCCAGAACAGACTCTATTAGGCCAGGAATGGTGGCTCACACCAGTAATCCTAGCACTCTGGAAAGCCAAGGCATTTGAACATCAGGGGTTCAAGACGAGCCTGAGCAAGAGTGAGATCCCCTATCTCTACTAAAAATAGAAAAATCAGCCCAGTGTTGTGGCACGCACCTGAAATCCCAGCTATTGGGGAAGCTGAGACAGGAGGGTTGCCTGATCCCAGGAGTTTGAGCTAGGCTGACACCACAGCACTCCTCATCAGGACAACAGAGTGAGACTCTGTCTCAAAAAAAAAGAAAAGAAAAAAAAAAGAACAGACTCTACTGTCAGATGCTGCTCTGGTTATTGATCATACCTGGTACCAGGTATCAGTTCCATACTCCCTTATTGACACTTCCTGGCAACATTACCAAAGGCTCAGGAAAGGACAGTAACCTAAGCCTAAGCTTTTCCACCAAACACAAGACAGAAAGCTTTATCAACGGATCTAAGAGTTCCATGTATCTTTTCTAAGGTTTCATTTACATTCTGAGAGAAACAATAACACTCTGGACAGTTATTTCTGGACAGTTCCAGCACTTTCAGTTTTTTTTTTTGTTTTGTTTTGTTTTTGAGACAGAGTCTCACTTTGTTGCCCAGGCTAGAGTGAGTGCCATGGCGTCAGCCTAGCTCACAGCAACCTCAATCTCCTGGGCTCAAGCAATCCTACTGCCTCAGCCTCCCGAGTAGCTGGGACTACAGGCATGCGCCACCATGCCCAGCTAATTTTTTTTTCCTATATATTTTTA